TGGGATCAAAAGTACTTCACATTTTTAAAAAACTTTTTATTTTATAGACTTTATATTTATATAGACTTCACTGGTTAAGCAGTCCCAGTCCAACAGTTCAAAATACTCAAAAATCTTCCAGGTGTGGTGGCACACACCACTTTTCAATCTCAGTACTCAGGAGGCTGAGGCAGGATCCCCATTGAGTTCAAGGTCAGCCTGCGCTACACAGTGAGTTCAGGGCCAGCCTGACTGTGTCCAAAACCCAAAAATAACACAACCAAAAAACAACCCTCAAAACTCTAAACCTTCACTGAGAAGCCAGCAGCCTTGACATGAAGGCAGCGCTCCCAGGAGCAACAGATATGAAGATACTACACAGGAGTGGATCTGCTTTTCTAGCTAGGCCTTGTGGCTCAGAAGGTCCCCTAGCAGCTTCCACGGAACGGATCAGCCTCTGGTAACTGCCCCACCTACAGGGAAGGATATCTACCATCTCCAGAAACTGGATCTGTGGGCTGAGGTGGACAGCGGGTCCTTTGGATCCAAGAAACACAAGATCCAACAGATCCGAACAACAGAACAAAATAAAGACATTTCTGCTTATTTTGGTCTCGCTGTTGCTGGTATTTTAAAACAAAGATGACCCGGGCATGGTGACTCGTGCCTCTAATCCCAGCACGTGGCAGGCTGAGGCAGGAGGACCACTGTGAGTTTGAGGCCAGCCTGAAGTACATAGTAAGATTCTATCTCAAAATAAATAAATCATTTTTTAAAAAACCTCCCAAACTTCTTGAACATCAACATTTGATACTCAAAGAACTCAACTCACTATTACAAATGATCAGTTACAACAGTCATATACTCAAAATGTTTAGTTTCAGCTAATCCAAATGAAAACTCGAAAGTGAAAAGGCACATAATTTAATATTTCAATTTTAAAATATCTCTTTAGGTATTTTTGGCACAACAAATATGGAGCTCCTAACTCTCCCGTATATTAACGTATCTACATTTATAAGTACATTTATAAGACACATTTGTAAGTTCTTGGGAAAAAATATAAAGGAAAAATGCTAGAAAAGAAAAACATAAAACTTTCTGTTTTCAGGTGACATGACTGGGGCTAGGGAGATGGCTCAGTGGAATAAGCACTTCCCTGGCAAGTGGAAGGGCCTGAGTTCAATCCCTGGTTCCGGCAAAAAAAAAAAAAAAAGCATCAGGTGGCATGATTACCTATGTAGAAAACTTTCTGACAGATCTACTGCAACTAAGAGTTTTCCAAAGTGACCCACACTGAGTGACACATTTCCAGAGGACAGAGTATGAAAAAATTAAAAGCAATGCAAGGGCTGAACTGATAGCTCAGTGGATTAAAGGGCCTGCTTAGGCAGACAGAGGGACCAGGGTTTGATTCCCAGCATGCCATGCCAGCCTTGCCCCCAGTGGCTTGAGCCTGTAATCCCAGCGCTTGAGACTGAAAAACAGGAGAAGTACTTTGAGTCTGATCTGTATAGTGAGACCCTCTAGACCCAGTACTAAATACATTTTTTAAAAAAAAAAAAATAAGGCAACCTCACAAGAAAGCAATTCAGCAAATACCACCTCAGGCAAGTGGTGACAATAAGCAGCACCTATGACAAAGCACTAATACTGCTGCATCACATGATGGATACTTCACTTCTGTAGTATTATTTAACCCCAGAAAACTACCAAACAAACTCAAATTAAGGGACATTCTACAAACACCTGAACTGTCGAGGTATGAAAACCAACTAGATTGAGACTGCTGAGAGACCAGAGAGTACATGACAACTAAATGTAGTATCCTGTGTGGGACCCTAAGCAAAGCACATCAGCATAAATACTAGTGAATCTTGAAGGAAACCTAGCTGAGAAGGCAGCTGGTAGGGATTGACGTCTGCCCTCTCCCCAAAGTTACACAGCTCTGAGCTAATCCCTAATACCCTCAATGGGACACAGGGCCTTAAAGAAGTGACTACGTTAACATGAGGCTTTAAATTCAAACCTGACAGGTATTCTGGAAAAGAAAACTGACACCTCAGTTTATTTTTTTTAAATGTGACTCAAAAGACACCATTAAGTTAAAAAAAAAAAAAGCCACAGGATATAACAATGGGGGGGATGATCAAAATACAGTGAGTGGTTCAATTTAATCCCTCTCAAAATACTCCCTTTCTGCACATTTATCCGTCATTCTTGTCACTTTCTAAAGCAGTTGTGGATGTCCTTCCACAATTTTATAAGGTGTGATAAGAAATACAGTGAACCCAGCACTGAGTAAGACGGCTCAGTAAGGGAGGCTCCCTAAAATACAGCACTGCACCCTCATCCACTTCACCACCCAATCTAGTGCTAACTTTAAGCTCCTCCAGAGTCAAAATGAAGACCATGAACTGATTTAAAAGGAAGCAGCCACAGGAGTACAGCCAGACACATGTGATAAAGGTCTTCTACCAAGAATATGCAAATCTTTAAATGCTGTAAGACAGCTGGGTGTGGTGGTACATGCCTGTAATCCCAGAACTTGGGAGGCGGAGGAAGAAAGATTCCTACCAGTTAGAGGCCACCCTAGTCTACATAGTGAGTTGAAGACTAGCCTGAATGATACAGTGAGACCTTGACTCAAAAAAATACAAAAACTGTAAAATACAAATAAAAATTAAGCAGATGTACAGACATTTTACCCAAGACACGCAAATGATAAGCACATGAAAAGACATTCAACATCATCAATCAGCAGGAAAGTGGAAATCAGAACCACAGGTTATATTCCACACTTACAAAGATGGCTGAAATGCTGGTGGGATGTGAAAAGATCGTAACTCCCATGCACGCTGCATTAACGTACACCGGTCAGATCCTCTGCAGAGCCTTGCAAATTCTCAAAATGGGACAGCTACCATATGAACCAACAACTCCACTTCCATATATAAAACCAAGGGATATAAAAACTTGTATCTACATGAAAACTTGTTCACCAATGTTCACTGCATTGCTTATAACAGTAAAAAGGTAGGAGAAAAATGCCTGACCAATGAATGGATAAAGAAAAATATGTATTCAGCACTCAAAAGAACGAAGTGCTGACATACACTCAACACGGAAACACTATGTCAAAGTGTAGGTCACAGGCGGCCACGTTCTGCTGTGTGAAGTGAGAACAGGCAAATCCATAGTACGAGATAGAAAGATGATCTGTGGTTTCAGGCACTGAGAGGAGGAGTAAGCTACTAACAGCTAGCGCACGTCTTTGGGGGTGATAAGAACATTCTACATGTTCAACCAGGACCACAGAGCACCAAGGTCAGAAGAGCAACAGGTGCCTGAAAACAATGCCATTTTTTTTCAAGTATTTTCTGTCTGCAGCTGGTTAACGCAGAACCTGCATACCAGTGCACTGCTCCCTTCCTGCAGGGCCAGACACCAGTCAGAATGACAGGGTCCTCACCTTCCAGAACTCAGCAAAACTGAGACAACAACTGCGGAATTCACAAGTCTTTGGCTAGTAATCAAAAATGGCCTAAAATTACACTACAGAGATGGTTGCACAATTCTGTGAACACACTAAAAACACACTGCACACAGGTAGACACGGGTGAATCCTAATGTCTTAAGAATATTATCTCAATAAATCCATTTAAAAACATCAAAAATTCCTCAAACACCCTGGGTGCTAGAGGACTCAGCAGCAAACTAAACTTCTCAAACTACTAACCCAGAAAAACAAGGAAATTACATGGCTCATTTGGGGGCATTAGTATTCTGAGTTACTTAAAACTACTTTCCAGGGCTGGGGAAATCTTGGCGGTCTAAGCATCTGCCTGGAAAGCACAAGGACCCAGGTTTGATCTCTGGTACACCAGCCCCAGAACCCAGGACGCACAACAGCCAGAAAACAGGCACGGTGGCACATACCTGTAATCCCAGTGCTGGGGAGGCTGCGACAGGAGGATCACTATGAGTCCAAGCTACATAGCAAGATCCTGTGCCAACTACATAAATATATAAAAACATTTTTTAAAAAAAAATTTTACAAAGCACCAGCCAGATAGCTCCGCAGGCTAATGCACCTGCGTAGGCAGAGAGCAGCAGCTGGGTTCAATCACTGGCTTGCTGTGCCAGCCCCGCCCCAGCCCCGCCCCCTGAGCGCACTGAGACAGAGACAGCGATTGAGACTGGGCACGGTCGCAGGCACTTGTAATCCCAGCATTTAGAGGAGGCTGAAAACAGAGAGAATCACTACAAGTCCAATCTACGTAGTGAGACCCTGTACCAAATACATTTAAAAAAAACCTTTCCAAACACAACTTCCACTAAATACACTGACATCTTACAAATGAATTTTATGGACATTCTGAGTGATTCCAACCTTTACCAAAGTCAGAGTACAGAGAGGAAGGTTAGGGACAGTGGTGCTAGGTGAACCACATTCCCTGAGCCATCTAATTCAGCACCCAACACAGACCCAAGCACGCAGCCAAGACTGAGAATCACCAATGTCATAAGTATATATATGTATT